ACAATAAACAGAAAAGAAAAATAACAACTGAAAACTTCAGCAGAGAAAATCCACAACAAACCAGACAAGTTTCTAATTCAGAGAGATCCAGATGTGTCCAGATCCAGTGTGTGAACGTGTGTGTGTGAATGGGTGAATGACTGATTGTGTTATAAAGCACCTTGGGGTGTTCCAGGGACTCTAGAAGGTGCTATATCAAATACAGGCCATTTTATCATTTACCAAGTCATCTGCTAAACATTCTCAACAAAGAAATAAAAAATTAGGTAAGTAGAAGTTCATGTTTTCTCCCTTAAGTTTCAAATAATAGTTTTAACTGTAAGGGGATTGGAGTTTTTGGGGTATTTATTTCTTAATGCAGCCCTGAAAAATAAAAAAACCCTCTAAGTAAATATTTGTTCTATTTGACTACAAGAGGGAACTACTTATCCTGCCTTTCAGAGCATTTTATTATTTATTTTATTTTTGCTTCTATCAGAAATTTTCTATCTTATCTATCTATCTATCTATCTATCTATCTATCTATCTATCTCGTTGAGAGCAGGAGGTTTGGACCCCAAAATGCAGAAAAATCCAGACTCAGGCAGGAACGGTTGAAAAAGTAAAATCATTTATTTAGGAAGATAACAAAAACAAACTCCAAAGGGAAGGAGGCCAAACCTAATAACTAAACTCAGACAAAAACCAAAAGCTCACTAAATGAGCAGAGACCTAGAGACTAGTAGGGAGGGACAAAACAACGCTGACATAAGACAATGGACCGACAACAGATAGAGACGCACACAGGGTTATATGGGGCGTGATGGGAGGCAGATGGGCTGCAGGTGTGTGGGGAGAGAAACCAAGTGAAAGCCAATTAACTTATCAGGGAGGAAACTAACATGACCTAAGAGTAAAACCTAAAGACAAGAAGAGCAGCAAAAATAAACTAATATTCTAAGGGGAAGGAAAACTACAAACACCAGTGGGAAAACACACTAAAGAGACTAATAAAATGAAAAGCTGAACCTATAAAAACTGCAGAGGGGGTGACTGGGGAGACCGAAGGAACACAGGACCTGGGAGGGATCATCTGGAGGGCTGCAAACAGGAGACACATGAGGAACACAAAGAGACACACAAGGGGATCCTTAGAGGGGAATGGAGCACATGAGGGAGACGCAGACACAGACCATGATATCTATCTATCTATCTATCTATCTATCTATCTATCTATCTATCTATCTGTCTGTCTGTCTGTCTGTCTGTCTGTCTGTCTGTCTGTCTGTCTATCTATCTACACAGTGCATATATATTAAAATTTTTCTCTCCTTATTAAGTTCAAGTTGTCATGTTAAAACAGTTGTTATCATATTTTGAAAGTGTGACAGCATCTTTTGTTTTTACACATTGAGGGTTCCACATTGTTAGCCCAAACAGTTCCAGAATATTTTCGATGCTGATAACTGTTTGGTGGATTTATTCGTTTTATAATTTGCAGAGTAATCGGTCTGTTAACACCAAGAACAAAAACTGACCCTAACTACAATAACAATTTTCTTTTAAACAAATAAAAAGACTTTTCTGGGCAAAGAAGATATTTGAGTCATCTTGAACAACATGCAAACTAGCAAAACTGTTTGACACGACTCGACTTGTTCCAGATGGTGGACATTTTCTTTAACTAATTCAGCCTGGCTCCTTTTGACAGAACTTCTTCCTGATTCTTCAGACTGACGTCGTTCTGACGGCAGTTTCTGTCGGATTGGATGTTGTTAGTTTTTATCGTGTCTATCTGTTGTTCTGTGGTGTAAAGCTAATTATATGTCCGTTGCTCCTGCCTCTTGGCCAGATTGTCGTTTTAAATGAGGACTCATCTTGTTAAATAAATACCTAAAAATAAATAGGACAACAAATACTCAGAAATACTCCACACACACTCTATACCTAAATAAAAATATACTCACTTAAAGATTTTTGTGTCACACCTAGAAACAGTTGTCTGTTTTAACCTGCTTTGATTAGGTGTTACAGAAACATGAAGCCAGATTCCCATCTGAGTCGTACTTTTGCTTATTTAGGTTTTTTCCCGTGATCTCCTGCCTCCTTTTGGGATTTAATCAGTCTTTTTGAAGGTAAAATGGGACTTCGTGTCAAGCTTGCTTTAAAATATGTGAGAACATGACTGTTTGACAAACAGCTCAGAAGCAGAGTGCATTCACTGTGTGTTGACTTGTTTGTTGAGAAGTGTGTGTGTGTGAGAGTCATGCTAATGCGTCACACACACCTGTGCATATTGTTGCAGATACACCGCCGTGGCCATGCCGCTGCTCTACAACACCAGGTACAGCTCCAGGAGGAGGGTGGCCGTGATGATCTCCGTGGTGTGGTTCCTCTCGTTCGCCATCTCCTGCCCTTTATTGTTCGGGCTGAATAATACCGGTAACCGTTCAACTTAATGCTTCTGCTCAGCTATCAGCCAAGATGTTGTTCTCTGGTCAGTCCATCAAGATGCAGAAATAATTCATGCATCCCAAAATGACAGCAGATGTGACGAGTTTGGAAGCTCTCACTTAAAAGTTGCAGAGCGGCTTAGTTTACTGTGGTAACTTACTTTGTCTGGTGCTCCATCCTTCATGCAATTACATCAGCGTTAGGATTTTGTTGAGCGCTTTATTTGACAGATTTGATCTGCAGCTAATGAATAAATGAAAACAACAATAGTTTGCATTTGCATTGCTGTCGCAGCAAAATAATGAACGCCAGTAGCGGAGAGCGGCAGCATTTTTCTGCCACAATGTGCACCCCAACAAAACACCGACATTATAATTGTGGCCATTTTTGCCAACACGACAGTAATTGGAGGACATTTCAACAGTAATGAAAGAAAAATCCATTTACTAACGAAGGCCAGAGTTGGAAGATCCAGAAATGTCTGAAAGAAAGCACAAAGCTGAAGAAATTAGTTGTTAAAAATGACTGAATAGCGACTAATGTGGGTATTTCTTTTTGTAGTTATTATTTTGTGTATTATTAGTTAATCGAAGCAGATCTTTCTGTCTATAACTGGACTGGAATGTCGAGTTTTACGCTTTTATTTCTCTTTTGCAAGCCCTGTGTGTGTTTATCATAGAAGCCAATATTGTTTTACAGTTTAGGATTAGCAGCTGTTTAATAATCTCAGAGGTCCACAATCCGTTCTACAACATGTGTGTGTGTGTGTGTGTGTGTGTGTGTGTGTGTGTGTGTGTGTGTGTGTGTGAAAGAGAGAGAGAGAGAGAGAGAGAGAGAGAGAGAGAGAGAGAGAGAGAGAGAGGTGGAGAGAGAAAATATTCAGATTATAAATAAAATTTGGAGTCTCGTAACTTTTTCAAACCAAAAGGATTTTTTTTTCTAATCTGATCTTCGTTATCTTAAAGTTGTAGTTGACTGACGGACGATTTTAAAATGTTTTTATTGATTAGAATCGGTCACTCTGAGTTTTTCATGCAGGCTGAACATGAAAACAGTCTCCCACACCTATCTCCTGCATTAGCTTCTGGGAGAAAATAGACGGTGAAACTCTAGGATTTGAAAATCCTCACATCTATGTCACACTGAATTAACATTCATGGACTCGCCAATCTTGACTCACGACAGAGAAGACTGTTGATGTTTTAACGTCCGGGAATCAGCAGAGAACTTCTCAGCTAGTTTAAGCTAGCCATTAGCAGTAGCAACATCACCCCACGGCAGAAGCTCCTGTGTTATTTGGGGCGAGATGTCCGAATATCAGGAAATAAGACCCCAACACCTGCCGTCTGAAGGTCATCTGTGATGTGGGCGACATTTAGGCCAGAGAAATGGTGCACTGGCATATTTCTTCCTGCCGAGAACGACTTACATGGCATTCATTCCTTCTAGAGACCACTCCAAATGTATTGCTTAAATGAGTAATCCACCCCTTTAAACTGACTCTTAAAGAGTCCTCTATGATACTTTGCAATATAAACAAGACATTTATGAGAAATATTATCAAATGTTCATTGTGAAACAAGAAAACGCGATGAGGAAGAGTCAGACTACACCTAAAGGAATGGACTTTAAGATAAGTGGGAGCAGCAAAGTAAAGAGTGAGCCCAAGTCCAGCAGCCGAGCACAGCGGGACGCTGAATGATGCAAGTCCGACTGTCAAAAACACCCTGAAGTCTCGGCTACGGGTTGCACATAGATTACAACATATGGTTCTAAAAAATGTTCTTGTTCCAGTGTTTGTTTAAATGTCAGAGTTGCATCATTGCTGGTTTTGGATAAACGAAGTAGACAGGCAAAAATGTATTTGACAAAACCCACACTGAGGCTGTGTTTTCATTGTAGAGTAATTTATAATTCCACAGACAGAAGACAAATCTAGCATTC